CCTCTCTAGTGACCCAATAGTGACAAAACTGGACTTTGACAAAGATGCTACACAAAAGCATTACTCTCCTGTTAGTATAAGAGAAGTCCTGCCTGAGGACAAGATCCCCAACAAAGAGCAAGAACGGGTAACATCCCACGCTATAATATGGTTGTCGTAGAGATAACTGCCCAGGCATTGATGCATTGATGCCATCTGTTTCCTTGAAAGCACAGTTAACGACTTCTTTAAACATGTAATTCATATTTAGTCTCTCATCTGCCCCCTTGCATTTGAAAGGAAAAGGAAATGCCTTCGCCGTTACCTTTATTAACATAAAGATAACAGTTATCCAGTGTCATCTTGTATAAACAGCGGCAACTGAAAGGCTTTTTTTTCTTTTGCAGGACACTTTGACCTCATTTGACTACCGAAATGACAGGAATAGCATCATTGTTCAGTCTGACCTTGAAGAAACCGAGGAACTTGAGACGCAGCCTTCAGCGTTACAGCTCATAACTGTCCAAAAGAACACAGAAATAAGGTGAACCATTTATAGTTTTTATGTATTTCTTGTACTAGCAAATATACACTCAACACTACTAAAGGACTTTTGTTGTTGTAGGGACGAAGAGGAGGAAGAACAGTTTCATTTCAGTCTTAAAGACTTTAAATGTGTTGCAGTGTTAGGCCGTGGACATTTTGGAAAGGTATGAGGCTATTTATGGTTACAGTTTCCTTTTTTTAATTTAGAGGTAATAATTACTAAGGCAATATTATTATTGGATGTTTAGGTAACAATAAGGTCCCATTAGTTCATGTTAGTTAATGCATTAACTAACATTAAATAACCATGAGCAACACACCTGTTACAGCATTTATTGATCTTTGTTAATGTTAGTTAATAAAAATACAACTGTTCATTTTTAGTTCATGTTAGTGTATGTCCATTAAATAATATTAACAGATACAACTTTGGTAATGTATTAGTAAATGTTGCAATTAACATTAACTATGATTAATAATTGCTTTAGAAGGATTCTAAATTTCATTGTTAGTTTATGGTAACTAATGTAACTAATGTAGTTAACTAATATCAACAAATGGAACCTTATTGTAAAATGCTACTATATATGCTACAAATACGATATTTATTATGGCTGTTTTTGTGCTGAACATTTTCTTTTTACATTTAAACAACCTTTGACATCATCTTATTCTCATTTAAACTTCACATTTAAAAACACAAATAATTGAACTACAAATAATCTCAAAATAACCACTTTTTTTGCATTGAACATTATAAATATGTTGATACCTTTATCTGTAGCATTTAAAATGATTGATTTTTAGATTTTAGTGTTTTTATTTATATGTAATATATATTTTAATATATATATATAATATATCCTGCATGATAAAAATTAAATATATATATGTCATATAGATCATTTATTGGTTATTGTCCATTACATGAAAATCTGTTAGCATCTGACATACCTACTTTTTTGCTATTAATTTATTTAGTAAGTGATCAGACCTGTCAGATTTCTTTTCAGTGACAGATCATACAGCTGGCAAAAAAAGCTATATATTTACATTTGAGGGAGAGACTCAATGATATCTTTGGCAAGATATTGTAGAGACTTGAGGGTGGTCTTATATGACTGGTAAACAACCACCCAGAATGCCCTAACAACCATATAGCACTACATATACCTAGACAAATACCCAAAATTGTGACACAAAAGACACGCACAGAATCTAAATGTCATTACATCTTTGTCACTTAACCTTTTCCTTCAGGTGTTGTTAGCGGAATACAGTATTACAGGTGAAATGTTTGCCATCAAGGCCCTTAAGAAGGGAGATATTGTTGCTCGTGATGAGGTTGAAAGGTAAATTTTTCTTCTCTGTTTTATATTTGATCATTTGTGAGCAACACTTGTCAACTACTAGCTGTCTTATTTTATCCTGTCTTATTTTCTGTTTTGCCAGTTTGATGTGTGAGAAGAGGATATTTGAGACTGTGAACAGCGTGCGGCACCCATTCCTCGTCAATCTTTTTGCATGTTTCCAGACCAAGGAGCATGTGTGTTTTGTGATGGAGTACGCGGCGGGAGGAGACCTCATGATGCACATTCATGCCGATGTGTTTTCAGAACCGCGGGCCACGTGAGTGACACAAAAGTCATGCTTTTTAGATGATTGTATTCAAGCCTTTATCAGCATTGCAGGTTCTGTTGTTCTTGATTGTTGCAGGTTTTATGCAGCTTGTGTTGTCCTGGGGTTACAGTTTTTACACGAGCACGAGATTGTATACAGGTATAAGAAAAAATGGTGGTGCTCTGTACTTAACTTGAAATTTTAATACAAATTTCATTGTTTTTCATTGTGTCAATTTGAGGATTACTACATGTATTCTTTAGAGATCTGAAGTTGGATAACTTACTGCTTGACACAGAGGGATTCGTCAAGATTGCTGATTTTGGTCTTTGTAAGGAAGGTAAGGATATGTTTGTTGTTGTGTTGTCCACTGTACAAGCGCCAGAGGCAAATGTTCTACCTGTTTGTGTGTTAGGAATGGGTTACCAGGACAGGACGAGCACTTTCTGTGGTACTCCAGAATTTCTGGCTCCTGAGGTGTTAACCGAAACGTCCTACACGCGTGCGGTGGACTGGTGGGGGCTCGGCGTGCTCATCTTTGAGATGCTTGTCGGGGAGGTCAGACCTCCTCCACTTCGGTTTATTTATTTCTTCTTCTTCTTCATCATCTCTCTAAATAAACTACCGTTCAGAAGTTTGGGGTCTGTATGTTTTTTTTATTTTTTATTTTTAAGTCTCTTATGCTCACCAAGGCTCTTTTTTTTCAATTAAAAATACAGTAAAAAGTGAAATATTTTGGCAATTTAAAACAATTGTTTTTTTTTTTTTAATACATTTTCAAATGTAATTTATTCCTGTGATGCAAAGCTG